AATATGGCATGGTTGTAAACATCACAAAGCATTGCTCTAGCCTTAGTCCTCTCATCCCCATATTTGTATATTAGAGACACCAAAGAATCTAGAAATGTCCTGCTGCTCTCTGGAAATGTAGGCCTCCTTGGAACAAGCTCAGGAATAACAACAAATGCAGGTGGGCCTTTATGCTCCTCAACTGCTTGGGGCTCATTGACTCCATCTCCTTCTGAAATGCCATCAGCAACCTCATCTTGTTCTGCCAGCTTTCTCATAGCATCATATACCTCCTGAGGCTTGTAATACACAAGTTCAACCCGTCGCAATGCCACTTTTGAGGCTGCCTTAAAATCCCCAACCTTTTCAAGATAATCCTGCACATTTTGTGCAATTACAAAGAACAATGGCTCATCCCTAAGCCTCTCAATATATTCCCTTGTGTGTGGGTCAGTACACTGCAAGCTCTTGAAAAATTCTGAATCCAGCCTTTCAAGAAAAGCAACCAAGCTACCCCATACACGTATTGTACCCTTGTGGTTCACACCCTTCTCAGTCTCACGCTCCTCGGGCTCGATTGTGTCATCAACAACAATATTAGGATACTTCTCAAGGATGTCCAAAACAAGAAGTAAATTCACAACACATTTTTTCCACACATTGATTGGCATATGTCCAAGCAAGCTTGGGTTTACATCAAATTGTGCTGATATCACACTAAAAAGAATCTCAAGCTTCTGAGCGGGTGTCTTGGCAACTCGTGTCAGGAAAGAGAGTTGTTCAACTTGCTCAACTCTGCCAGTCCCTTTCCTTCCCCTGGCTGCAACAATCTCCTTAAATTTCTTGTCAACAACATCCCAAGTAATCTCGCTTGGGTCCTTCATGAATTGCTTGTCCATAAGCTTATCCTTCCTGCTCATCTTCTTCTCCCAAGCTCCATCTCCCTCAGTCTGCTCATCTGCATCTTCTGCATCCGACATCCTCGTCGTCATCCTCCATATCAGACATATCGATCTTTGATGGATCCTCCTCAACCTCAGATCCGGATTCATCCTCGTCCTCCTCCTCCTCGTCCTCCTCACCCTCATCCTCACTTTCAGGCTTCTCCCGATACTTTGTTATCAGCTCCTCATACTGCTTGTTGTTCTTCTTCAGCTTTTGCTTCATGGAATTAAGGGCCTTTGCATTGCTGCTGCTCATCTTTTTCTTTACATCCTTGTTGGCTAGAGCTTGTGCAAGGAAATCCTCCAGTATAACAAGGGCCTTGATGTAAAGATTGGGTACTTTCTCAGACTCAGTGACCCGAACAACCTTCTCAAGCTGCTTGTTAATCTTCTCAAAATTCTCCTGTAGGTTGACCCAGTCATTGATCTTCATGGCATTCTTCATCTGCTCAACCGTGGCAGCCATCTCATCAAAACGCTTGTCACGGGCTGATTTGATGACCCGGTGCTGGCCATCAGAATCATCAGAGTCGCTGGCATTTTCACGGAGGTAACGGTTAGCACCACCTGCGGGTACACTAGCCACACCGCCAGCATCACTACCATCACCAAACTCGCTCTGTTCCTCTTCCTCCTCTTCGGAATCACTGTCTCCACCCTGGGAGATGAAAATGGGGGAGAGAAAGAAGGCTTCAAAATTAAATAAAAGAGCACCGTGACCGGCACAATCAACAACCAAAGATGTATTATAGGCTGCAGTTAATAGGAGTTTGGAGAATGAACCTGAGTCCAAAATCGAGAAGTCATTGTTACTTTTAGTTCTCTCTACGTCGATTGGCAGAAACTCTGGAATAACAAAACGATTAGCTTACAGTTAGTAATCGTATGAAAAAAAAGGAAAGATCGGAGACAGAGTCAGGAAGCATCATCGTCTAAAACAACAATCATAAAAAGGCTGTTTTTTGGAAATAGTCGCGAACTGGTACTGGCCGGCTTGGAAATTTAGGATCCCTTGTCCTATAGACGGATCTAGGAAGGAGAAACCCTAGAGATGGAGCAAGGCTGTATCGGAAGTACCAGAACGGTGGAGGAATATGAACGGACATGTGGAAAAACAGACGGCCTGTTAAAAAGAACGGATCAAGAGAAGAATTGCAGCTTACCTCGAGGATGAAGTCGTGCAACTAACGAAGAAAACCCGACCGAAGAAAACGACGCCAAGAGATGAGTTAACGAACACTGATAGAGGCTGCAAACGCGAGCTGCCCTAAACCCTAGAACACAATTGGAAGAACTTATCACCGGTCGCACTGGTTTGGCCACTCACTTTCACTTTCTGTTGACGTGCGAGCAATCGTTATATATCGAATTATTCTGAATTGTTCCCCTGGAAACACAAATATTTCTTGGACGAAAAATAAAAACGCACGTGTAAGCTCGTGTGTGAACCATGAACAAAGGATCTCTAATTGTTTGTTAATAAAAGCATATGATTTTATAATTTTTTTTCTGATCTCAAATCTAAAAAACAAAATTGTTGTGGCGAAAAAAAATTTGATGTGGACACTTTAAAATCAATACTTTCTGACACCTTGGAACTTAATAAATAGGGTTTAGTTTCTCACAATAGAATTTTAAAATTGTGCATAAAAAA